TGCTGAGACACAGTCCGAGGGAAGGGCGACCTCAGCGAGTCCAGTCACAGTTATGGGACAACCTGTCTACCCCTGACATCTTTCCTCCCATTTAAATTATCCTTCCTTTTTGCCCCCAAATTCTTTCCTCTATTTCTAGTTCCAGTGTAAAACCTCACCCTGAACTACGGTGACCTCAGGGGAAGGAAATTCAAAACGCGATCCCAGAGGAGCCGACCACGCTTAGACCCCAGTTCTCTAAAGCACGCCGTCAATCGCTGGCGGTGGCCCAAAAGCATTCTTTGTTTCTTTTCCAGGAGGACGGTGACTCTTCGTACATTTCCTAAAACCAGAACCGCAACAGGCGTTCAGACAAAGCACTTCAATAACTGCAAACAGACCTGGACAACGCGGGCAGAGGGGCCTCACACTGCTGAAACCTGCCCCTTTCACAATCCAGGGAGCATTTACGCGGGACGCCGAGACAGAAGAACGAATGAACGCGTTCCCGACACTTAAGGACACCCAGCCCCACGGGAGAAACGACGGACAGGGAGCCTGAACGAGAGAGGGGCAGCCCCGGGGCAGAGTCCACGGCCAATCCCGCCGGGGGCCGGGGCAGGAGGCAGCCTGGGCAAGGGCGTACGGAAGGGGAGCCAGGCTTCAGCCTTAAACGCTTTTTCTTTCCAAACACACATGCTACTTGCACATGTCTAAAGACGCTGTTCCAGAGGCAGAGGGGTGTCTCCATCAGGCGGGACCGGTCACAAGGATACTCGTGTTTCCGTGTCTGAACGCTGCTGACCAGTCACGAGGTAACTCGCGTCTGCACTTATATTAATTTAACTGATTTTAAATACCTTGCTGACCGGTCACGACAGAAAAGCAGCCGGTGGCACGGACGAGTTCTGGCTCGAAACAGCCAGTCAGCAAGGTTAAGCGACCGCCGCAGAAGCTCTTACGCGGGGCTGGGCTGCGCTCTGGCGAAGCTGCTCTGAAGCAGGGGCCTCCCTCCCTGCCCACCTGTGGCCTGTGCCAGAGATGATCTCGGAGCACAGGCCGGGACGAGAACCAGGCTAGCATCTCGACAGGCTGGGAGGCGGGGGAGCGAGGACACCCCACTTTCTCCTCTCACGCTCTGGTCAGCTCTTTTGCTGTCGGAACAGGAACCCAAATTCAGCTGTCCTCTGAACACCTGCACCCCCGCCGCCCACTTACCTGGGGGCCTGCCCCCTCCCCTGCCCCCAGGCTCACAGCTCACCGTGGGGTGCTCCCCAGCCCCCCTCTTCAGGAGCCTTCCTCCCGCTGTATGGAGACAGTGGTGGCTGGTTCAGAGCAAGCAGCAGGTATCTGAGCTGCACTAAGACAGTGTCCGTTCACCTATCACGTCCTCTGACCCCAAAGGCTCCCCTTATAACCACGGGCTCCGCTTCTATTCAGAAAACAGGGTCACTACGTTCCACAGGCTGGGGCAGAGGCGGCTGGCGCGTCCCGGCACCGGGTGACGCTCCTGGGGAGCCGTCGCCCTCCGGCCCTCACCTCCGGCCTCTGCTCCACCGACCGGCTTCCCCGCGGCGGGGAGTCTGGGCTCGGGGCACAGACAGTCCCACCACCGAGCCCCCGCCCGGGGAGGTCGGGGAGGCGGCCTTTCTGCTCCCCAGGAAGCTCCATCCCACCAGAGCGCCGTTTGCTCCTCCGACGGCTGGACGTACAGATGGAAAGAGAGGTACCCCTTCCCGGCACACTTTTAAACTCACTGCATTTTCTCCGAGGACACAGCGCCCCACTCTCCTCTAAAAGGAGGCTCTCTAGGGGGTTCTTGAAGAATTTCTATTTTAGAAATTGCCTAAGTGGCCTCTCAATATTCCCACTCTCTGAAGGAAAGACCCCCCATTCCCGGGAATTCTAACCCAGGGGCACCGTCCAGACGGGGCTTCTAAGGGTTTCGCTTGTGGAGGCCGGCTCCATGCCGTGGATTCTGGGGGCGTGTATTTTCCAGGCTTAACAAACCTTGGAAAAAAGATATTACGTAACCACCCTGTTTCACAGATAAAGAAAACAAGGTCTATAAAGTCAGGGGAGACCCATGAACACAAACTCTGTATGTACCTTTGTCCTTAAAAAATTCCTGAGAAAAATCACATCAAAGGCGAAGTTAGATATTTCCTTCACTTACCTTTTTCCATATGGGCACCCTGGCTTTTAAAGCATCAATGGCGTAGCTCACGGCCTCGAGGGACGCGGCCCTGTGGGCCGAGGACACCGCGATGACAACGCTTGCTTCGGACACGGGAACCAGGCTTTAACAGATGGAGGACAAAGTCACCACCTTCTATAAATCTACGTGTTAGAGAATCTACGGCAGGGGGAAAAAACTCGCGAGAAGCACTCAGAACCACGCAGCCACTTCTGCTTCACCGACACATCCAGGTTCGTTAGAAACGGAAGGAAAAGAGAGTCTGTCCCAGCTGCGCTCAGCGGAGGGGACGCCGAGGCTGCGGGGATGCGTTAGCGTCCATCCACCCACTGCCCCTGTCCGATGGGCACCGACCAGAAAAACTTCCACTCGCTCCACACGCGCCTGGTCCAAACCAGCCAGGCACAGTGGCAGCAGATGCCAGCGAAACAAAGTTACCAAGTGATGAATGTAACCGAGAACTTCAAATACCAAACAGCAGTAAATACTAAGTAACAGAATCGACATTAATAATTAATAAAATTAGTCATTAATAACAAAATAATGATCGGTGACCAGTAGAATATGATCGATACAGTCTCAATTGCCGGGTTCTTTTTCAAACCTCGAACTCCACTCTTCTTAGAGACACAACAAGGGAAACTAGCCTAATGTCCTCCAAAGACATTTACATTAAAAAACATTTTCTTAACACACTGTCATATAAACAGCGTCTAGACTACAGAGCGGTTCTTAAAGGCCTCAGGACGTCAGCCCAACCAGCAGCAGCGACGGGCTCAGGGCCCCGGGGTCCTGAACACTGGGACTCGGGCGCAGCCTCAGGCGCCGTCCAGACGTCACAGCATCAGACAACACGCACAGGTCACAGACGCAGGCCGTCCAAACTCACCACGGAACGGCGGCCTCCACGTCTGCCACAGTCACACACAAACTGCCCCCCTCCCCGGGACAGGGTCCCCGTGAAACCACAGGGTCCCCGTGACACCGCAGGCTCAGAGCCGGGCTGCGCCGAGCTTGGCGTGGACGGAGGCGGCCTACCCGAGCCTGTGGAAGACCGCGACGTGCTTCACCGGCCACCTCTGCCGCACGTCGCTACAAATTCTCCTGACTTCGTTTTCTGCCATCGGGATGTATGCTTCATACTCCAAGCTGATGACTTTTTTCCCTTCAAAGTTATTTCTTGTGGTCCCTAGGAAACAGAAGGCGACTGAAATAAGGTTCCTCCTAATCATAGAAAGGATGGTTATTTTTTTAAATTATTTTTTTACTGATTTTTCAGAGAGAGAGAGAAGGTTAGAGGGAGGGAGAGAGAAACATTGATGTGAGAACAAAACATCGATCGGCTGCCTCCGGCACGCCCCCCACTGGGGATCAAGCCCGAAACCTGGGCATGTGCCCTGACCGGGGATCGAACCGGCGGCCTTTCGGTGCACAGGGTGACACCCAACCAACTGAGCCACACCAGCCAGGGGGAAAAAACGTTATTATTGAATAGACAAGTAGCATACCAATCTGTCTAAAAATTACTTTGAAATATTTTAAAAGTGAAAACGAGAGAAAAAAGATAAGTATCGCAAAGGTAAGAAAATAAAACACACTGACTAGGCAGGTGGATGGAGACACTCCCGTGACAAACCAGGACATGTTTCTTTTCTGACAGCGTTTGACACGTAGAAGGAAAACACTGTTCCTGGATTATCGTGAAGTCATCACCATTTTCCCTCAATATTTGGAAAATACAGAACTCTCTCTGCCAATGACGTTTACCCTGCTTCTATCCTGCCTTTAACGTGTTACTGTGAAGATTACTAGAAAACAACCGCTGAGGAAAGGCGGCTTTGGCTGACTGCTCAGCACCCTCAGTCCTGGGCGAACACCGAGCGTGGGAAACGCCCGCGGTGTCCACCGCCTCACGCCGTCCACGGGCCGGGGATGCACGACTCACCTACAAAGAGGGACACGGCACCGCAGAGCGGGGAGGTCACCAGCTGCGAGACTTCTCCTACCGACAGCTTCTCCGCCGTGAATTTTATTATATCCTTGGGTTTCTCTTCCACTTCGTTCCCACCTCTCCTGGAAACAAGACAGTGATAAACCTCAGCAGGGCTCCAGAGGCAAAACACCCAACTCACGGGCTGCGTTTCAATCCACAGTTTTTCTACATCAGATGTGTTAGGAGGCATGATCTGATCTGAATAAAAATTAACGTTAAATTTTTAAAAAAATAACATCATTTATTAATATCCCTGATGAAGCAAGCTTGATATAAAAAGGCATTTACCATTCACATGATCCCTTAAAACAGAGGTGGGGGGTGGCCCTGCCAAGGCCTCACCGAGGAGAAGCGGCTCCCACCATCACCTTAGGGCCGAGTTAATTAAATGTTTGCCCAAACAGAACAGGCTAATTTTTCAGTCGATGATAATTTTGTACAGCCCGCAAGTGATGTTATAAATATCCAGATGGCCCTTGGCAGAAGGGCCCTGACTTAACACATAGTCTATCTCATACGCCAATTTCTTCCCGGCTCCGGAACTGCTGCTCTGTCTCCCGGTGCGGTTCCAATCGCGAGTCCTTCATCCATACGCACATCTACCCACTGCGCACCCCAGCCCGCCTAGAACTGCCTCTTCCTTTATCCAAAAAGGCTCGGGGGCGGGGGGGGG